AGTTGGTTTTCCCAAAAAAGTTTGTTCAGACTCTACATACCTCAAAGGAAAAGATGAAATCAACATGGGAAATTGTGCCTCTGAAGCTGACAAGTCCTAAAACAGTCAGCCTCCCATTAATACTATGATGGCTAAGATGAGGATGCTTTGATACTTCTAAATTAATCTTTTACATGCACAATTAGAAGAAGCCAGCTATAAATTAGGCAGAATGAATGGAAAACATATTTAATTGTTCTCTATAAGTTTCTAAAAAAGGACTGTAATAAATGGATCAACCTATGATGTCATTTAGGTGTCAACCCAATTCTTTAAGGGATTAAAAATGGCTGTCCTTATTTTAAAAGGGAAAAGGTCATTTGGAACTTGACTTGTCAAAGACAGATATAAACAGTAAAAGGCCTGCAAAACAAAATTTAGATCCAACTGTTCTGTTTGTGTCTGTCTATGTTTGTATATGTACGTTGTAAATGTGAGACAATTTTCTACTCCAGATGGTATTGTTAAAATTAACTTAAAGGCAAGGGCTTGTAAGGATTGGGTGTTCTAAAATTCCCAGGACTATAGAAACTAACTCAAATGTTTTTCAAGTTCACGTGATCTAAGATTAATCTTTAGTAAATAAAAGTGAAAGTTTGTTGATCTAAGTAGAATAGACACGTCTTTTGAGTTACTGATACTAAATACAATATTTATGTTTTCCCTGATTTTACAAAATTAGTCCATGTTAATAATTGACTTCAAATATATATATATATATTCCAGTAAAAGGGGCTATGTTTTTATAGGTTATAAAATGCCTTCATCAGTCTGTCAAGTAAAGAATGTTAATTGCTTACTTCTTAGTTTTCATTAGAAATTGAGGTTTTAAGTGTCAAAACCTCAAAATACGTAAGACTAACTTTGCGGTGTTCCAGAACAACCCCTGGAACACCTCAAAAGATTTGAAATCTCATGGGAAGCATTGTAAAATAAGTGATGAAAATTTTCTAGGGTATATTGCATGGGTAAACAAATAATGGTTGTAAATTAAACAAATAGTCAGGGCCTGGGAAACCCAAGATGGCTGCTTGGTTCTTCCCAGCTCCCTGGCATCATCATAGTGCATTTAAGATGGACTTAGATGAAGAAGCTTATGAGTTGACATTATTGAAAGGAGACATTTTACGCTATGGCCAAGGTTTGATAAAGTCACTTCAAAAAATGCCAAATAGGTTAACCGCTTCCTTTCACAGAAAGCTCCCAGGAAACAAAGACTTTAGAGTTCACTGAGTACCACCCAGAGATTTTGTTTATTGGAAAGGACATCAAATAAAAGACATTCTCCAATCTCATTGGAAGGAAGCTTATTACGCACCTACCTGTGAATGGGCATCTATCCCGTCTACAGACAGCAAAGACTCCTCAAGGATGAGAAACTGTTTACACTAGAGGTAGACAGCTATCCCAAGACATTGACAAGGTCTGTATAACTACAGATTGATATTGAACTCAGAATCCATTTTGTTTGATTATCTTTAACTCTCTGCTAATGATATTAGTCACAATAATAATTATACTTCTTTGAATTTTTCTATATAGTCCAACTGTTTATGATTATTGAACATGTATAAGATAGGTGTTAATACTCTTTTCATGGTTTTTATAAATGTTATACTAGATGCCAAATACAAAAAAAAATGAGATAGATGGCAAAATTCAGATCATGAGAGTTCACAGGATAGAAATGATCCAGAGTGTTGGTTTTTTTGTTTTGTTTTGTTTTGCAATGAAAGCCAAGAGACCTGCTTTTCATTTAACTTGCCTTTCCCTTTTTGGGAAAATTCAGACTCAACTCACATCCCATGGTTTTGCCCCATCCCCAATGGTCAACAAGACGACATATATACTGAGACTACCTAGAAATGAGCCTTCCTAGCACTGTGAGACCACATTATCAGACCAAAAGATTGGTCGTCGGTGCATCCCATGGATTGATTTATGACCAAAAGGGGGAACTGTGGACAAAAATGGGAGTTCTATGGAAAGTAACCTCACAGGGTGATCTGAACATAAATTCCTAACTGGGCAGGTCGTAGTGAGTCACACCCTAGGCATATAACTTTTTTAGTAAAAAGTTTATCTTTGTCTTAAGCAAGCACTATCCACTGTTTTTGTATATCTAGGTTAACACATCTTTGAAATACCTCTTTCAGGCCCCTCCTTCTAATGTGTAAACCACCCTTTCAGACCCTTCCTTCTATAATGTAACCACCCTCAAGAGAGCAAATATTCTTAATTATCCTATAATCCAACCACCACCTTGCTTTCTTCCACCTTCATCCTTACATCCATCTTTAATTTTAAATGCATGAAAGAAACTAAAAAACAGTTATTCTCCAGAGCATTTGATATCTTGCTCTCCAGCATCTGTCATCAGTTGGTGTCAAATAAACTCTTATAAAAATTTTTTTTAAAAAAAGGAATCCCACTTTAAATACAGACACATACAGATAAAAAGTAAATGGATGGAGAAAAGCATACCATACTAACACTAAACAAAAGAAAGCAAGAGTGTTTACACTGATTTCAGACCAGAACAGACACCAAAATGTTACCAGGGATAAGAAAGACATTACAAAATGATAAAGGTGTCAATTCTCCAAGAAGACATAATAATTCTTAACATGTATGTGTGTAACAACAGAGCAGCAAACTATGAGGCAAAGAATAATAGATTACAAGGAAAAATAGATGAATCCACTATCACAGTTGGGGATTTCAACACCTCTTACAAGTGGACCGACCAGCAGACATAAGGACATAGTTAAACTCAGTAATAGCATCAGTCAAGTAAGTATAATTGACATCATTTATAGCATTAAAAGCTATATGAGAATCTAAGTTTTCACCTTAGGAAAATTTAAAAACAGAAGTAAGCAGAACAAAAGAAATAATAAAAATTAGGGCCTAAATCAATAAAATTGAAAATAAGAAATGAACAGAAACAATCAATAAAACCATAAGCTAGTTCTTTGAACAGATTAATAAAATCTATAAACCTCTAGGAAAGCAAACTAAGAAAAAAGATAGAGAACACAAATTACTTCTGTCAGAAATGAAGGAAGGGACATCACTACAGACCTAATAGACCTTAAAGAATAATAAATGAATACTATACTATGAACAACTCTATACCCAGATTTTTGATAATCTATATTAAATGAACAAATTCCTTAAAAGAGTTCAGTGTGCCAAACTCACACAAAAAGAAACAGATGCTCATTTATTCAGTTCTTTAGATTCCACATATAAGTGAGATCATATGGTATCTGTCTTTCCCCGACTGACTCAGAGACATAGAGGAAAAACTTATGATTGCTAGATGGGAGGGGGGTGGGGAAGAGAGAGAAGGGGAAGGGACGAGACAACACAAATTGGTAACTACAATATTGCCACAGGGATATGAAAGATAGTTTGGGGAGTATAATCAATAATGTCAATATTTTTTAGGGGGTCAGATGGACTCATGCCTTGTTAGGGAGACCACTTCATGGACAGTGTAGAGGCCTGACCACTGCACTGTACATCTGAAACTGCCATTGAATAATATTGTATATCAACTAAGATTCGATATATATGTGGTCACGGGATGTGGAACACAGTGTGGGGAGTGGAGTCGATGGAACTGTGATAGATGTGTATGATCGGGGGAGGGGGCGGTTGATTGGGTGAAGAGGGTGGTCACTTTGTGAGGGGTGAAAAGTATAACTATTGCATTGCTTTGTACACCTAAAACTAATTTTAAAAAAACAGATGATCTGAATAGGCCTATATCTATTAAATAAATTGAATCAATAATTAATAATCTTCCCAAACACAAAGTACCAGGCCCAGATGGGTTAACTGGCAAATTCTACCAAATATTTAAGGACTAAATTATATAAATTCTCTAAAATCTTTATCAGAGGGACAGAATAAGGGAATACTTTCTAACTCATTCTATGATGCCAGCATTATCCTAATATCAAAACAAGACAAATACATTACACATAAGGAAAACTACAAACCAGTATCTCTCATGATTCTAAATTTACACTTTTTCATCATGTTTGAGATTTATTTATGTTATTCTATAAAACCAACTGTACTATATTATTCTGTTATTGTGTGTTTTTCTAATATTTCCATAAGCAGTATTTTTCATTGCTGATTAATATTCAGGAGAAGACCAAGGAAATCAAACGCAGAGAAAATTCTTACTGAAATAGATATTGATTTTTCAACCAAAAATCATTTATCCTTACTCTAAATGGGTCCATTTTTAAAATGTTATCCTAGAATCTTCAAGTTTTTAAGTTTAAATGTAATATACTGAAAGGGATTAAAATCCAGGGCTTTATTTGCCTACAAGTTCTAAATAAGTAAACTGAAACATAGCCCCCCAAAAAATTAATGGAATTTTGAGTTTTATATTAATAAATACACACTATCCAGATAAGGAAGATGAAAATCTTACTAGGTACTACACCAAGAATATTATATCTGGTTCTGGTATCCTAAGTTTTTTTAAAAATGAGTGAAATTCTCAAACTGAAGAGAATCCCTAGATCCCTGTTCAATTAAATAATGAAAATAGTCAAAGATATTGTGAACATATTTATCCATACTAGAAAAGATTTACAAGGAGATTGAAAAGAAGTCATAGGAAAACAAAGAATAAGTAGGCAGCAGGCAGGTAAATTTAAGTCGGTTTAAGAAGAAAAGTTGTAAGAAACAGAGTTGCCTACTACTGAAATAAGAAACTGTAGGGTTAGTGAGTTCTTTATTTACAAGAGGTGTTTAAGCAGAGACAGTGATCGCTTGACAGAGATTTTAAGTACAGTTTTTTCCACAATATTCATTGAGTGGCAACTAACTAGCTACCAAGCACAGTAGATCTAAGAGTACTTTAACCTTGTCATAAGATTCAATGATCTTAAAATCCAAAAAGGAAATGAAATAGCTACTTTTCAACTTACCTTTTTTTCCTCCTGTAATATTATTATTTCATAAAATCGTGGCAGATGTGAGTAATAATTTTTCTGTTGATCTTTCTTGATGTTAATATTTTCATAATGTGGTATCTTTTTCCTTTAGAAAATTTAAAATGGAATTGAGTTCTCAATTTCAAATGCATAAATGTTTAAATAAGCCAACAAAATATTTTTACACCAATGTTTTATGCTTAAAAAGTATGCAATAAAAACAATATTTGGATGTGTTAGGCCAATATATCCTAAATTTTGTAAAAAGTATTCATTTATCTTAGTTAGTTCCATGTTTTCCAATTTAGAGCATTATAATGAACATATTCTAATAACACCTCCACAAAGAAAATAGAAGATTTATGCCATGAGTTTAAATAAAAAGCTACCAAAAGTTCCCTGTGTATTCTATTTATGATAAAAAGTTTTTAAAATTTCAAATCCTTTATTATTTCAATTATTACTAAAATAATAGGGAAAATAGCTCTATGCTATTAATATCATAACATAATCAGGAAAAGAGCATAAAGAAAGATCTTTGAAAATGAAGGGGAAGCTTCATTGAAACTCATACAACCTCAAGAAAGAATAAGAAACTAAATAAACAGTAATTAAGAGCCCAAGCTTTGCAGTCAGACAGCCTGATGTGAATCCTAGCATTGCTACCTACTAGCAGTGTAACCTTACACAAATCACAGAACTTCTCTAAGCATCAGATTAGATTCCTCACCTGATTGGAAACAGTAATAAAGAATTCTCAAGGTTGTAATGATTAAAGCAGATAAGTGTTTAGTGCCATACAAGGCTCACAATAAGTTCACAATAACTGCTAGCTATTATTATTATTATAAGACATATTTAAGTAGGCTATACTGACTATACTACTTTCTTCTATTTCTTAAAGAGAATATTTTTCAAATCTCACATTAAACATTTCCAGTGAACTATCCTGAACATAAGCAGATTAAAAGGCAGATAATAGAAAAACATAAAGACAAATGCTGCAGTTGCATAATTGTAATTATTTTCTTTGACATTGTTATAATTTAAATATTCATTTAATATCTTACTTCACTGTTAAATGCTAACTTCACTGATTTTTTTCACACAAAATTCAACAAATAAACTTGTTTTCAAAACCTCAAATAGCTGTATGGATAACAAATTGATAGTTGGGATATCGCAAGGGTCACATATCATTTAGGTCCGTCTTTCCCAGAAACCTATAAGCTCATCTTTCCATTTACAATAGGGAAGTATCTCCACTTTATACTGTATCAAATCTCACAGAACAATTCTGACTTCACCCAATAAAACATAAGTCAAAAAGAAAAGAAAAGGGGTAGAAAGTGTCAGCTGCCAGAAGGAATCAAGACAACTCCGAGTAAAAGAGAAATTATGGAAATGGTAGTAAGTGAAGTAGTCTGGAATACAATTAATATGGATACATTCCTAGAAGCAAAAATAAAAATACAAATAAATGAAGAAAAAAAAAACAGGGGAAATGACAAAGATCAAAGAGAAAATAATACTAATACATAGCAGAAAAATGGGAATGGGACAGGGTTGAAGAAGTAAAAGTGCTGTTAGGAAAAAAGAAATACCATGTAAAACCAGAGGAACATGATTAGATAGAGTCCTGGTTATACCTGAGGTACTTAGTAAGAAGTATACTAGGGCCGGCCGAGTGGCGCGATGGTTAAGAACTCGCTTGGGATGCCAGAGGGCCCCGGTTCGGATCCCACATATGAGGGCCAGTGACACTGCCCTCCACAGCTAAGATGCTGAACAACAGCTCAACCTGGAGCTGGGCTGCCATGAGTCGCCGGCGACGGCGTAGGCTGCACTCCCTGTGGCAGTGGGTTGCCATGGGCTACCGTATGTGGCCAGCAGCCGCAGTGAGCGGCCAGCAGCCGCAGTGAGCGGCCGTCCAGAAGCCGGCGACTGATCTGCCTCGCCAGAGAAGAGCGCAATGATGGTGCCAACTTGGCCCAGTGAAGCAACAACCTCCACAACTAGATTGAAGAACAAAGGACAGCAACTTCTCTGTTCCCCTTTCCCCAATTCCCCAGCACTGTTCCCATCCCCCCAATTCCCCAATAAAAATCTTTAAAAAAAAAACAAAAAAAAAGAAGTATACTAGAATGGATGGAAAGCAATCATCATAGAACAACATACATTAAAAAAGGTTATTTTTGCTTTATGTCAATTAAACCTCAATAAAACTGGCAAGCAAACAGACAGACAAATAGATAAGCAAGCGAGCCCAACTGGAAGACAAAGAGGAGAAGATTAGCATCCTGGATAACAAAAGCATATGTCAAGGGGATGAGTAGCGTTGGTGCATTTATCAGACTTTGTTTTGTTTGGAAGAATGACAAAGATATTAAGTTTAGACCCCATTGAGCTAAATATACGTTTCAAGTTCCAGTACCACTACTAAAAGAATAAAAATACAAGATGTCTATCCCATATTAGGAGAATAAAACATGAAATGGACAATAGAATAGTGTATAAACTCCCCAAAACAAAGACCACGTTTTATTATTTTTATTCTACACTTTTTTTTTTTTTCCTGCCACCATTTGGCAGCTGAGCAGAAGCTCAGCTCGGGCCGGGCATTGAACTGCTGTTGCTCAAAGCTCGCACTCCTGAGCACACTCTTAACCAACTTAGCCACTCGGCAGGCCCTATTATTTTTATTCTAAGTTACTAAGTTTAGCACTAGCACATAGCAAGAATTCAAACAATGTTTGTTCAATGAATGAACAGTAGCAGGGGAGTCCAACAAGAGTCTACTCGTAAGTTATATCTACCACTGGTATGTAGATGTATCTGAATCTGTCGAGCAAACTACTTGGATAGGTAATCACTGTGGGACTTCTTGTGAGAAAACGCATTCTATGAGAGAGAAAGAATCAGGCAGAAAACCTGGACCCTGTTAAAAAAAAAAATTAAAGAAATGAATCAGTAGAGTCTGAGGACAACATGGTATTTGTTACTCAATTTTGTCTTCAATTGGCCCATGTCTAAAGCCTTACTGTGTGAGTCAGAGAAAATAAAGACAGAGTTATTTTAGCAGAAATGTATTTCCTAGTTAAATTTCATTAACATTACCTCCAACCTAACGTTATGGCTCTAATGCACACTAAGAATGCCTTCTAAATCTGTCATGTAGTCAGAAGAATGGATACCAGAGCCAGGGACAAGATGAATCCTGGGTCACTTCTTTAATATTTTCTCTGATATTTTGTCTGTTTCATAATGAAAGACAGTATATTTTAGTACTTAGATACAAGAGCTATGTAATTGAACAGGCCTCAGTTAAAGTCCAGCCCTGACACTTAATAGCCACATGATCTTGAATATGTTATTTATTCTCTTTGATCCTTGCATTTTTCACTAATAAAATAGGTAACTACACAATAACAATAGTAATTACACAGAAACTTGTGGCAATTAAATGAGGTAATGCATGTAAGGCCGGGTGGCACAGGATGTAGCTCACAAAAAAGCAATAGTTTTCATATAGGTTACTCCAAATTATACTACTTCTTGGAGACTTAATACTGATTTTTCCTTTCATAGTAGCATAAATTAGTCTAAATTATTAGAATACTTTATAGTCAAGAACTATATTAAAGGTATCCTTTTTTTTTTTTTTACTTACTGGACTATATCATATTGTCCAGGACCAGGCCCTGACTTTACAGGTAACACGAGTCTTCCCAAAGAGTTGCCAAAATGTATTCCCTTATATTTCAAAGTTGCATTGGAAATATCCTATTAAAAAAAAAAAAGTAAAGATGAGAAATAGCTTAATTAAGCCATGAAACAATATTTAACTATACTTAAGTCTAAATCTAAAGCAAGGATAACCTTTGTTAAGGGGTTCCACTGGTAAATGCTAGCATTCCTTGATCTCAAGGTAAGTTACGAATGCTATACCCCATTCCACTCCTGCGTCTGCCAGAATTTCTAGAGAAGTACTTCTAGTTTCAGCATATCCTCAACCAATATGAACAGCTTTGCTCCTGGCAGTACACTCAGCAATCTAAAACCTTAAGAGCAAAGAAAATGAGCTCCTCGACATTTGAAAAAAAGAGGAGGACAAATTTTATGATTTAGAGAATGAGAAAACCTACTAAAAATGACCTTAATTAAACAGAAGTTAATATTAATTTCAAGAAGTTAAATTAAAATTCAAATGGCATCAACAGATACTGGATAACTTCTAATTACCTGGTATTTAAAACTATAACATATTCATGTAAAGTTTTCAAAGAGTAACAAATATATGACAATAAATTACTAAGTACTACCATTTCATTTTATTATTAATGCTGAAGTCAAGATCAGTCCTTTAATGTCAAAGAAATTATTTGTGACATGAAAAATCAATCATCTTTCCTTTACATCCACTATATAGATATCAAAATTAATTTTGGCCCATTAAAAAGTTCACTTTAGAGAAGTTAAAGCACCTGGTTTTGTTAAAAACCAATAAATAAATTTGTATAATTTTGTAAAATAAATTAGTATAAGAACAGTAGCTTCTCTTACAAGAATTCTCTTCTCTTGACCTAATACGTTCTAAATTGAGCAATCACTTCAGAATATTTTAAAATAAATTCATCTTTTAACTGATGGTAAAAGGTAAACTCTAGTCTATTTAATTTATTTTTAATTCATATTTGGAAAATTACAGTTTTAAAATAAGTCTGAATTATTAAAACAATTAATATATGATACTGAATAAAATCCCCATAACATAAACTTATAGTTTAACTGCATAAGTGTGACAGTCATTCTAGGTAATCATTATTATTCGAGAATAGCAGAACCAACCTCTATTACTATTATAAACCATAATAATAAAACAAATAGCAATATTTGTCATAAAAAGCATAATTCCAGTTTTAAATGGTTAATTAAACCCATATCTGCCCCACTCCCACCAAAATTTAAAAAGTATACAAAATAGACACAAATAATCAGTGCTAGAAGCTAAGAGAAAGTGTCATTCACTTTCCAAAACTCTGAGGAATTTCTGAAAAACAGAGCACAGCAGAAACTATTGTAGAACCAGAAAAAGACCTCACTGCATGAAAAAGAACCTCAGCTGAATCCTATTAATGTCCCCAAGAGGACAAAAACGGGAAATTGGATGGACTTTTGGGTAGTGAGTAGGGAGCCAAAGTCTCAAAACAAATGCCTTTAGATATTTGCACCAGTGCCATTACGTGAAGCAATGAAAGAGAATGCCAACTCTCTTAGCTTGGATGACTGGAAATGAAGCTCGTATTAGCTCCTAATGAGGACAGACTTTCTAGTTAGGCACCACTCCAGAAAGTGTTGGGATGCCACAACAAAATGCAAAAAGAAGCTATCACAGCACTAAAAATACCTACTATGTGAAAACGCATGTTACTTCCTAGAACTTACCACTAACAACTAGCCCTCCAATGTTATCAAATGCAAACACTATGAAACTAAACTTTCCCTTCTACACCACCTTCTCTTAAAGAATTAAACAGAGGCCAACAAATCTGACAGAACTTAGATGTTTGCATGAAAGGAAATGAGACCTTTGTGGATTCTTTTTTTCATAGATGCAATCTCATAGAGAAATGGGATTATAATTTTTCTGAAGTTTCTTCTGTTTTGATTTTAGTAAATCTCCTTGCTTGCTCCTTGCTTAGGATGGTGGAGGATGTTAGAGCTGAAAGAAACAGGGAGTTACAAGCTATGTTCAAGTAAGATTCAGACAATTTTAGAATGCCTGGTGAATTAACAGAGCAAACCAGCCAGAAGGTGAATGTGAAAACTAATCCTGTGGGAAACAATGAATCACGACCCTCGCCCAGTAAGAAAATCTTAGTGTCAATGCTAAATACGATTTTTTGTTGACTGAATTTGTCTCCTAACAGATAGTCCCCATTGGATTTATGCCTGGTTCCTGCAGAGTGCAAAGGGGCTATGATAAAAATCTAAAAGACCTGTTTCGTTAAAACACTGGTAAAATCAACACTACTTTTAGGAACCTCTAAAGGAATACAACACAAAGAAGGAAGAGTATTTTCTTCCTGACTTCACTCCACTCAGCATGCAGCTTTAGCTGTGATGAGTACACTGGTGGAAATGCCCAGCAGAGAGCACCATCTGGCAAGAGACTGAGATGTCTGGTGGAGCAGCAGCTGCCTCAGTGGAAACAAATTTGTTCAGGAGCCTGGTAGTGACAGCCCTTGAGGACTTCTAGAAGCACTTGGAAAGGGGAAGTTTGCAGAAGGCTGGTATTCCTTTACAACAGTAAGAGGAGACAACGTACATTTGAGTTATGAACATAATTGTGACTCTCCTTATACCCACAATTTAATGAAACCTGTGAAAACTTGTTAACATAAATAAAAAGTATTAATTCTTATTCCCACTAGAAATATTTCCAGCACTGTAAGTGTTCTCAATGTGCTTAGATTATTGATATGCAGATCCTTTCTAATGAATGGTAACGCAAAGAGCAGAGAAGTATTTTCCTCTCTTCACTATGGACGTTTAGGTTTAACACACTATGAAACTACAACACTATAAAACACTATATCAAAGTAAGATAGTAGTAGTAGTATTACTATTATAATATAAGGAGGCTGTCTAGATAATAAACATGATTTCCAAACACAGACCTTTGTCAGTCCTAGAACAGAGCTATGAATAAAAATTAAAAGAGCTTTCCTACCAGTCTCTATAACACACAGAGTATGTATTGCTTTGGCACTCCTGAGTGTAACACAGAAGGGCCTAAGGCAGCAGGATCATCCAAAGGCTTTGGGTCTGGAGTGCAGAGAGAAATGCTATAACCTAGCAGAGGAGCACAGAAAAATGGCACAGCCTGACATGTCCAGCAGAGCAGCAGATGGTAGTAGAGGAATACTGGAAAAAACCATGGCACCCACTAGAGTAGCTGAAAAGCAGCCTGTTTCTTTGGGTCAGTGGCAACTCCAAAGATGGCTGCACCCTGTAGAGCCTCAGGAAAAGAAAGAATGCCAAGCCACACAACTCCTTCTTTTACTAAAGTAAGTGTTCTAGACCACCTTTCAAATGGAATTACCTAATATAGCCATGGATTTTAAAGGACATATATAGTTTTGATGGCAGAAAGAACAAAATTTCTCATTTGTGTTGTACTTTACTTTTACTTAGAAATGAAGCAGAATTTCATAATTGTGCAGATTTTAGGTACAATCACTAGTGAAATACACAGATGTGGAATTCTGCTCTAATATAATATAGCCATTTTATATATTTCATGTAGAAGCATATCTAATATATTGACTTATATATAGCTTATAGGTTTATTTAAAAAATCAGTATTTTATAACAGAGCATTTGATAAATCATCTTTTACATCATGCTTTTATAGCCTAAAACATATATGTTAAGGTTTTATATTAATTATTTTTGCATAGCATTTCAGGACCATGAGAAGAATTATATCCAGGAAGCTTTCTTTGGTTTAATTAACATTATTGAGATTTTGTGGTTCAACTGTTTAACAATTCTTAAGGTAACCCAGTAGAAGGAAAGATCATGTATATACATACAAACCATTCAAAACATTCAAGATATTAGCAAAATCCTTTTCCTGTATATACACTAAAATTCATTTTATTTAAATCATGAGAATTGAAAAGCACTTAACTCGCTAACCTCTGCAGTACTCAGGTAAATGTTCAATCTGAATTTTAAAAGCCTTTTAAAAATACAGACAGAAAATGAAGAATAAATTGATGCACTCTTAACTCTATATCATATCCTCTTTATGTCAAGAAGTGTTGACAATATCAACTTCAAGGTCATTGTCAACTTGGAAAATCATTAGCAAATAAAATATGACTTAATTGAAGCGAACTCAGCATGGAGCTGCGTTATTTTAAGTGAATGTTGTAATATAACTTGAAGAAGAATTACTAACTGTCACTCCCAATGACAATAAAATGAATGAATAAGTGACTATGCAACTTTTCCCGAGTGTTTTCCATAATTAAGTATGGAAGTAGAATTTATGAAGAATTAAAAGTCCCAAAGTGCATCAATTTAAACACTAATGGACTGCTTTCCAGTGTGGCAGCACACAGATAATTCTCAGCATGTTATCATTAGCAAATATGTCAGTGTCATAATTCCAACTGCAAACTTTGCTTATGAAATCCACCTCTGAAAAGTAAATGTATAATGATATTTCTAAAGCATTAGGGCTCTTCTAAAAAGAGAGAGAGAAGTAAATTTTATAAATCAAAATATTATACAAAATAACTTATAAATATAATTTCTCTTTACAGATTAAATATAGCTAAAATTTATCATTTGTTGGCTACAGTCACATACAGCTTTTAATTTCAGAGTTGCTTCTATATTTAAGCTATATAAGATATCTTCAGCAGATGCTATTCACCAGTTCAGGGAAGGACCACTATAATTACCCATTTATTAGATTATTTTCTTAATTTTCTATTAATATTCACATCTGGAATCTGAGCACACATATAGTATATTCTCAAAAAGCATCTAAAGAAAACAGAATTACCAGAAGTTTGCATAAGGTATGAATTAACATTACTACAGCATCAACTTCATAGTAGTCAGCGAGGAAACTATTTTTTGTTGCAGGAAAAACAAGAAAACAAAGCCTTCAGCTAATGAGCTTTGCCACCCTTTATCTAGTTCTCTCAAATTCAAGAAGGAGATTTCAGAAAATATCACAGTCCAATTCAAATTGAATTTTGTTGGATCTTCTTGAATATTAACAACTATGTTTTTAATTTATATATAAATCTATGTTTTTACATGTTTTCTTAAATTAGATGTAGACTTTTATTCCAATAAATACAATTTGGATTGACTCAATAATTACTAAAATAAGTCATCAAATAAATTAAACCTAGTAAAATTATGGAATAAATTTCCTTCTTATTTGTGTTATATGTAATGGAGGGTACATGGGTATCTGTTATTATGTTTGTACTATTAAATGTGTAGCTGTGAGTACATAAATTGAAGTAAAAATATTTTAAGAAAACACTTTTGACAATTCAAAAGATCTAAGACCCAAAATTGCCTCGATACACCTATTGCCACAAACCAAATGTTTTCTGAACGTGCTTAAGCCAAAGCCCAAAGATGGAGACACATACAAACAAAAAAACTGTAGAGTATTGGGAGTGAAGGTCAAGGCAAATCCTGAGAGTACCTATTCCTATGCTTTGCCCAAGGTGTCTCGTCAGCCTCTCCTTAAATCTATTTTTCATTTTTGCCATTTTCCTCACTAGGATTATTTCTTCTAGATCCAATAAAAGCATAAAAACCAACAAGTTCAAAGCACTGTGTGTTTCGGTCTTGTAATTAAGAAAAACCAGACATACTATCTATCCGTATTTATTGTCTGTATTCATGGATAACTCATACATTTCAACTAGCTGAATAGAATCTTGGTTCAACTCTAGCCACGTTTAAAATTTAAAGCCTGGATGAGATGAATCTGATATATTATATTTGATATTTTAATCAGAGAGAAGCTCCTTATCTTTTTTATAATCATTTATGAAATAAATAATATACTATCAGATTCAAATTCTTTTATAAATAAATATAAATTGTTTTCTAAATAAATAAATAAATAAAATGTTCTCTTTCACGTTCCAACTCAGGAAAAGAATATCTATGTATTGCATATGATTATACAGTATAGCAGAGACTTCTAGTAAGTTAAACCTGTTTCCTCTTCTTCCTAGAGTTAGACTATATTTCCCAGCCTCCTTGGCACTTAAGTGTATCCATGTGACAGAGCATTAACTCCCAGGTCTGGCCTACAAAAATCTCCCACTAACAGTCCTCCATCCCCTTTCCCCTCCTGCCAGCTGGAAGTAGATGACAGCAAAGTCCTGTGGGATGACAGTAGCACAAACAGAGTGAGCCTGAATCTCTACATGGAGAAAAAGTCTCTTAAGTAATGGCCATATGAATGAGGAAAAACTAATTTCTGTTGCATTAATCCACTAACATTTGAGGGTTTATTTGTTACTACAGTTAGCGTTACATTAACTAAACATGAATAATCATAAACAAGCTTCTAATTGCCAATATAAAATGCAATCTACTTACAAATTGAGGTTTATAGTATGCTGGACCGAGTGTGCTGTCACTATCAGGTGGAAAACGTTTTATAATACTGTCATCCTCATTAATATGATAACCATACGACCGTCCACAAGAAGGAATTGAAGGAACATCAACACTTCTGGCAGCTGAAGGTGCCCTTGAAATTTTCTGTACAAAAACACATTATTTACTCAAAGGCAAGAGAAGAAGAAATAAAGAACCAAATATTAAAATTTACTAAGGTGCCTTGTAAGCGCAGTAGGTAGCGCCTCAGTCTCATAAAATTTACTAAAAAGCAACTCTTAAATATTGACTTAATGAGTTTCATAATTTAAGTCAAAATGTTCTATAAAAGTAAGTTAAGGGAGTGAATTCAAGTCTCACCTCATCGTATAAACCAAGATAATATACACCAGTACTATTATAGCTACCGTATCAAGCCAGGAATCTCTCTCACTTGGCTCAGCTATTTATATTGCTTTAGTAAAACAAATATAACTGATTATGAAAACAGGCATTCATTCCTAGAGTCACATTAAATATCAACAGTCCGAACTAGTTACTTGTGAGATGCCATCACAGTATCTGCCAGGCAAAAGCAAACTTCATATTTCCTGTAACATTTCCGGGTTTCATTCCTTCCCAGCTCCTGACCTAGTTCCGTATTACTGGTGCCCTTTATAAATATCCTAGTTACGCAGACTATGTGGCAAGGAAAATGTCTATGATATAATGCTGAATGGAAATAAAAAATATAAAATATAAAATTGAATTTATGACTATAGCTACGTAAGTTATGTGAATTTATATATGTGTATAAAGTCATATATATATATATATGATTGAATAATGAAAGAAGCTATGCCATAATTAATACAATGTCAGTGTTAGAATCAGGTATTTAGGGAAAGTTTTTCAAAATTTCCTTTAATGAAAAATATTTTATAATTTAAATAAAAACAGGAAGGAGTACCATATATAAGAAATAATAGAATAAAATATATCAAATAATATACAGACAAATAAATTAGTTATTTGGAAAAGTCTTTATTAAGACTATATTGATCCTCTATAGTTTCTAAATAAATAAATANTCAGTTTTTTGCAAATAAAGACAGGTCCTTCTATGAACAAGGAATTATGAAGCTCACTGAAAGGTGGCAAAAGGTTATCAAACAAAACGGGCAATATATCATTGATTGATCTTTGTTTTTTATATAAATAAATGAACTTTGAAAAATAGACAAAATATGTCATAACTTTTCTGACAACCCACTAGAAGAGAATAGGACCAGAAAATATAAGTGAAATTTATACTGACCCTTTGCAGCAGGAATCATCCTAGGAAATAGGAGATGAAAGAACAAGCTCTGACTTAATAAGCTAATTATATATCTATCAAAGGATCAAAAGCCTTCACATTGTAAACTTAATTCTTTTGTTTCTTTTATTTTCTTAATTCCTTTATGATCTTTTCTACTAAGCAAACTTCCATTTGAAAAAAGTTAATATGTTTCAGATATGCTAAAAGAAACAAAGGAAACGTGAATTTGCCCATAACTGGGCAAGAGCTGAAAAGGCAAAATGTATACCCCAATCCCACTGCTGACTTTAGAATGGTGGTGACAGCCATAATCAAAGTGAAATAACCATAAGAAGTACAGAGAAATAGAGAAGACTAAATTGGGGCACACAGTTTCAACTCCGAAATGTTCTGCTTTATAAAGTTTCAGCTATTTTGTATTTTACAGTGGAGGCAGGCCCTTGCAACTACAACCCACATTTAGGTTTCTCGGACTTTCATTTGAAGTCTCTAAATAATATTTACTAAGTTTTTGCTGATAGAAAGCAATATTTCAATCTATGCTTCCAAAGAGTAAAATAAATAAATAAATACATACATACATACATACATACATACATACATATATACATAAATGCTCTAGTTGAGTGCACAGATGCCCAATATACTATTATGCTATTAACATACTATCATTGGCTGAAAATGTATCTATCATTAGAGACAATTATTAAGTACTTTCCCTGATACTTAATGAGACTGATTACCAAATAAAAACAGGAAATTACCAAATAAAAACAGGAAAGTATCAAATGGTTTCCCCTCCATTCACTACTTTAAAAAATTATTTGCATGATGTCAAGACTTTCCTCTCTGGCTTCTATTTCTACTACTCTCCCTAGATCCTGTAACTCCAAGTATTCCAAAGAACTTTGTTCTTCTCTGAACATACCACACCATTAAATACCATAACATCTTTATTCTTGCGGTTTCTCTGCCAGAGTGTTTTTGTCTTCCCATTTTTTTTTTAACTACTTAGTGAATCCTTCTTCACGAGTCAGCTCAACTGCGCTATCCCTACACCCTCTAAAAACTCTCTTCTTTGGGCTACTGGGGAACACTTTATTATGATGTATGTTTATTAAGATATCATTTCATCAACTTTTTGGTATTGAATTTCATTCATTACTTTCCCGTTAAAATTATAGATCTCAGGGAGCAGTGATTGTCTTCTATATATTATCAGTGCCTAGCATTGTCTGGTACACATTGTCACTCAAAAAATGTCCGATAAACCCTTGCATGAATAAACAAACATTTACTCTGCCCCCACACATGAAATAGCTGATATTTAAATACACTTATAAAACTTAACTTCATTATCATTGTGCTGATATTATTCAACTGAGTACTGAACCCTAAAATATATCCTCCTCAACAAAAATCTAATCCAAACTTAAATAATATGAGCTATGTGAAGGAATTATGACAAGAGAAGAAGGAACCACTTAAAATAAACCATGACCAAAATCTGCTACATTATATTATTTATTTCAAAAGAGTAGGCCTTTGGTGTAAAAATTATTCATTTATATAACACCAACATAACTTTCCAAAAACATTACCTGCTAGTTCCCAATATAAATTCTGATTTCCAGTGAAAATAATCTCATTGTCCTCTGCAAAATCCCACTTCTCTATCTTCACTCACATAGCTCTCCAAGCCTAAAATGCATGTTCTTCAAAGCCAACTTCCTTTATAAATTCTCTACAAATTATACTTCCTTATAATACAGTAGTTCGTCTTTAAATTCCTATGGCATTCTTTTGTTTGTTTGTTTGTTTTTTGTTGGGTTTTTGTTTTTGTTTTTGTTTTTTTTTAGCTGAGCCATCCTGCCACTTGTTGGCAGCTCAGCAGCAGCTCAGCTCAGGCCATGAATTGAACCAGCAACCATGGTGCTCAGAGCTCACACTCTTGAGAGACCTCTTAACCCTATGGCATTTAATTACATGGTCATTCATTTAGCACCTGTCACATTTCCTCTTGCAACTGTCACGTTTCATCTTGGTACCTATTTATGTATCTTTCCCATCTAAAATTTAAGCTTTTTTTATTTCAGGAAATATGTTTTAAATTTCACTTATTATTAATAGTGCATAAACAGTGTTTCCTATCTGTCATATATATATATACACATATATATATATATATATATATATATATATATATATATATATATATA